TTTCCTTTTCCTTTCCCACCTTCCTAAGGAGCTGCCCAGGAGGAAAGCCAGGGAGAACACACAGGGCAGGATTTTGGGACTGGCCCTTACCTGGCCCCACAGGAGCTCTCCCACTCCGATGAAAATGCACCAGAACCACTGGCTCAGGGTGAGCCCGGAGCAGCTGAAGGGCTTCCCACCAAACTCCACGATGATGATCTGCAGCACAGGAGACAAAGAGTCACACCCTGGGCAGCTCCAAGGGCATGGAAAGGACCCTTGGGCCACACCTTTCCCCTTTTTCCTGGGATTACAAGAGGAGCAAGAACCTCAGTTCCAGGCTGGGAATTTTGTGGAACACCAGAAAACAGCAGGGACCTCACATCCAGGCTGGAAATTTTATGAGACACCAGAAAGGACCAAGGACTTCACACCCAGGCTGGGAATTTTAGGAGCAAAGACCTCAAAACCAGCCTGCAAATTTTATGAGACACCAGAGAAGTGCACAGACTCCTCATCCAGACTGGAAAATTCATGGGACACCAGAGAGGAGCAGGGACCTCACATCCAGGCTGGGAATTTTGTGGAACACCAGAAAACAGCAGGGACCTCACCTGCAGACCAGGAACTCTATGAAACACCAGCTTCACCTCCCAACACGCTCCAGACCCCAAACCACAGAACCCCGGGGTGTTTTGAGCTGGAAGGGATTTAAACCCCACCCAGACCCACACAGGGACACCTTCCACCAGCTCAGCTCGCTCTGAGCCCCACCCAGCCCTGCTCTGAGCATTTCCTGAGAGATTCCACTTCCATGCACAGTGGGGCACACCCCAAGACCCAGCGTGTGCACAGGAGCCCACAATGAACACAGAGGGGGCTTTTTTTGGGGTCTGAAAACCCAGTGCCAGATCCAGGATCCAGAATTCCCACCGGTATCCAGCAGGAATTGTTTTCCATGTTCATTTCCATGCACAGCTGTGTGTCTGCACACCCTGGAACCCATCATGTGCAGAGGAGCCCACAATGAACACACAGAGGGGCTTTGGACCACACAGAGCCTGGTTTTTTGGGGTCTGAAAACCCAGTGCCAGATCCAGGATCCAGAATTCCCACCGGTATCCAGCAGGAATTGTTTTCCATGCCCATTTCCATGCACAGCTGTGTGTCTGCACACCCTGGAACCCATCATGTGCAGAGGAGCCCACAATGAACACACAGAGGGGCTTTGCACCACACAGGGCCTGTTTTTTTGGGGGGTCTGAAAACCCAGTGCCAGATCCAGTATCCAGAATTCCCACTGGCACCCAGCAGGAATTGTTTTCCAGCCTGGAACCCAGCATGTGCAGAGCAGCCCACAATGAACACACAGAGGGGTTCTGCACCAGACAGGGCCTTTTCTTGGGAGTCTGAAAACCCAGGGCCAGATCCAGGACCCAGAATTCCTACTGGGATCCAGCAGGAATTGTTTTCCCACACCCATTTCCCTGCAGAGCAGCTCCAGCACACCCCAACACCCAAAACGTGCAGCTCAGGGCGGGGCTCCCAGGCTCCTCCTGCCGACCACCAGGTGTGCAGAGCCCCGCAGGGGCTCACCTGGGCAGCGAAGGTGCCCAGCACCACGGTGCAGAAGATGGGGTTGCGGTAGATGGCCTCGAAGACGTTCCTCTCGCCGTGGATCTTGCGCGCGTTGATCTCGTTGAAGAGCTGCATCATGACGAACGTGTTGAACACGATGGTGTAGTGCTCGGTGGGCGGAGAGTGCAGGGGGGCGTTCCGGCCGCTGTCGATGTCGAAAAACTTCTCCCCTGAGCACGGGAAAAAAAAAAATATATATAGAGAGAGAGGGATTTGGGGTTGGGTTGTGGGAATTGCTGCGTTGGGACAAACTCAGGTGCTCTCTGTGTTCTGTCTTGATTTTTGCAGTTTATTTTGTAGGGTTTGGGTTTATATGAGGCCCTGCTGGAACTGCAGCCACAGCTCAGAGCAGGACAGAGAGAGAGGGACAGAGCAAGAGTGAGAGGAGAGAGTAAAAGAGAGCGATTTTCCCCTTTACAATACATTAAATCTTCTTCTATGTTGAATATTCTAATTTCTACTGACTGTAGGAATTGCTGAGTGGGGATGGTCATGACAAACTCAGGCGCTCTCTGTGTTCTGTCTTGATTTTTGCAGTTTATTTTGTAGGGTTTGGGTTTATATGAGGCCCTGCTGGAACTGCAGCCACAGCTCAGAGCAGGACACAGAAGAGAGTGTAAGAGAGAGATTTTCCCCTTTACAATACAATAAATCTTCTTCTACGTTGAATATTTTAATTTCCACTAACCAATCTAATACAAGATACAAATTCTCTAACATTTGCATGCAACCTATAGGAATCACTGTATCACCGTGTTTTACTGCTTTTTTTTATTTTTAAATTTAATCTGGGACCCTTCCTGCCGTGCCTAGGGAGGATGTCTGTTTGATTTTTGGCATTCTCAGCATCCAACATTATCTAACCAAAGGAGCCTTCAGGCATTCAGTTGCTTTCAGCCACACAGTCAAAAACTGCTATAATTTCTATTTCACTTATATTTTCCATATTCTCAAAGTCTTTTGCTAGGTACTCATATTTATAAGGTTTCCCTAATTCATCCTTCCCAACAGTTAGTAAGTCAGGAATCTTTGAATCTTTTCGAGAGAGATCAGAGCACAGAGGTTGAATTAAAGCCTTTGAATGGACTGAATTATGTCAGGCCACTCGCACATAAAGCAAAAGTGAAAGTTTAAATTTCAGTATAGGTGAGCAAGCAAGCAAGTATGTAGAATAAGTTTTAAGCTCCAAGAAGCAAGCTTCAGACATAACAGAGTTAGAGTTTAAAATATTGCTTACATTTTTCAGTTCGAACAAAATAGACCCAGTGCTAAAAAAACTAAAATTCTAATAATTTAAAAAGTAGCAGTCTGAGTTTGTGTCTTGGCTAGTTGGAAAGTTTCTATATAAAAACATGCATTAAGAAAAGCTAGTGCATTTTACCATTGCATTTTACCATTGCATTTTGCCACTTGCTTTTATTCCATTGCTTTACTGTGTTTTTGCCTTTGAAATTGATGTGCTTTTACAATAAATACAGTAACTATGAGCTGCTCAGCTCGTGAAAGAAAAACATCCTGAAATTGGGTGCCTAACAGTGCCCAGAAATCCTAACTTCACATTTGGTGCCCCGTGTTTGGTGCCGTGCTTTACTTTGCTTTGAGCTACTGTCAGGCTTCCTCCAATGTCACTGAGGGGGTTTTTGGGGTCCCTTTGGGGTCCCTGAGGCTGCTCCTGCAGCCCCCAGTGACAGAGCAAATTCCCTAACCTTGCCCAGATGGAATTTTGGCTCGTGGGGAGCTCTCAGACCAGCGGGGTGAAGAGATTGGGATATGCAGAAAGGCACAAATCCATGGTTTATTCTGTGAAGGCATCCTATCTACATACACCACAGTTATTGTTTTACAGGGGTTTTTTTAATCTTTTGAGGGTTTTACAATTTGCTTTCTTCTTCATGAATGTTTTCTGCTCCCTCCACACTCAAAGGCCTCATTGAAGTGTGGAAAGGGAAAGGCACAGCCCAGTGACAGAGAGCAGAGGGGGAGATGCTGCTCCTTCCTTCAGCTTAGGGAGCACGTTGAGACACTCTGGTAGAGACCTAGGAAAATTACTGCCAGGAAAAATCATTCCCAGGCTGGAGTTTCTCCTGGTTCTCTCCCACATCCATTCCCAAGCTGACAGCTTGTTCAGCACCAGTTAGGAAAACTTTCCCCCAGGATGATAATTTAGTCAAAATAAAATTAAGAACATTAAATTAACACCTAATACCAACTGTAAGACTCGTACTACAGTCCCAGAAACGTTTTCCCAATTATCCAATGAGCTACTATCTTGTCTTAACTCTGCAGAACATCCTATAAAAGTACAAATTGTACTCTCAATAAATGCCTTCTTCTCTCTAAAAAAGCCCACGTGTGTTCCTGTCATTGCTCTCTCAGTAACCACACAAACACATCCAGGGGAGGCAAAGAGCCTGGTGAGGGGATTGGAACACAAACCCTGTGAGGAACAACTGAGGGAGCTGCGGGTGTTTATCCTGGAGAAAAGGAGACTCAGGGGGGATTTTCTCACTCTTACACCTCCCTGAAAGGTGGCTGTGCTCAGCTGGGGTTGGTCTCTCTCCAGGCAGCACTGACAGAAATAAGACACAGACTCAAACTGCACCACGGGAAATTCAGGCTGGATGTTAGGAAAAAGTTTTACATGGGAAGAGTGATAAAATTCTGGAATTGTCTGCCCGGGGAGGTGGTGGAGTCACCATCCCTGGATGTGTTTAAAAAAGCCTGGATGTGGCACTGGGTGCCTGGGTTAGTGCAGGTGCTGGGCTGGGTTGGACTCGATCTTGAAGGGCTCTTGAACCCTGGGATTCTGTGAATTCTCTGGGCTGAGGGTAGGGAGGGGACTCTGCCCTTTTCCTTTTCCTTTCCTTCCCTTTCCTCCTTTTCCTTTCCCTTTCCTTTTCTCTTTTCCTTTTTTCCTTTTCTCTTTTACTTTTTTCCTTTTCTCATTTCCTTTCCATTTCTCTTTTCCTTCCCCTTACCTTTTCTTCTTTCCCTTTCCTTTTCTCCTTTTCCTTTCCTTTCCTTTCCTTTCCTTTCCTTTCCTTTCCTTTCCTTTCCTTTCCTTTCCTTTCCTTTCCTTTCCTTTCCTTTCCTTCCCTCTTCTCCTTTCCCTTTTCTCCTTCCCCTTGCCTTTTCCCTTTCTCATTTTCCCCTTTCCCTTTCCTTCTCCCTCTCCCCTTCCCCTCTCCCCACACTCCCCACGTGCTCACCAGCGAAGAGCAGGGTGAAGATGATGGTGAGCTGGTAGACGGCGTGGCCCAGGATGTTTTTCATCATGGTGCGGGAGATGAGCGGTTTGTTCCTCCCGTAGGGTTTGCGCAGCAGCAGCGACTCCGACGGCGGCTCCGTGGCCAAGGCCAGCGAGGCGAACGTGTCCATGATCAGGTTCACCCACAGCATCTGCACGGCCTTCAGGGGAGAGTCCTGCCAAAAAAATCCACCCCCGTGTCACCCCTGGGTTCGCTGTCCTCCTGAAAACCTCTCCAGGATTGCTCCGGGATATTTAACGCTTTCCTAAAAACACTCCTCAAACATTTCCCCTTTTCTCCAAGTTCCCTGCACGGCCTTCAGGGGAGAGTCCTGCCAAAAAATCCACCCCTGTGTCACTCTTTGTTTCACTTTCCTCCTGAAAACCTCTCCAGGATTGCTCTGGGATATTTAATGCTTTCCTAAAAACACTTCCCATATATTTCTCCAAGTTCCCTTCAGGGGAGGGTCCTGCCAAAAAATCCACCCTGTGTCACTCTTTGTTTCACTCTCCTCCTGCAGAGAACTCCAGAAAGGCTCTGGGCAACATCTTCCTAAAAATACTCCTCAAATATTTCTGTAAGCTCCCTGCACGGCCTTCAGGGAAGAGTCCTGCAAAAAAATCAACCTTCTTCCCTCTTTGCTTCACTCTCCTCCTGAAAACCTCTCTAGAATCATTCTTGGGTATCTAACACTTTCCTAAAAACATTTCCCAAATATTTCTCCAAGTTCCCTGCACGGCCTTCAGGGAAGAGTCCTGCCAAAAAATCCACCCTGTGTCACTCTTGGGTTCACTCTCCTCCTGAAGAGAACTCCAGAATGGCTCTGGAGTATTTAACAGCTTCCTAGACCACTCCCCAAATATCTCTGCAAGTTCCCTGCACGGCTTTCGGGGAGAGGTCCTGCCAAAAAATCCACCCTGTGTCACTCTTTGTTTCACTCTCCTCCTGAGAACCTCTCTAGAATCATTCTTGGGTGTTTAACACCTTCCTAAAAACACTTCCCCTTTTCTCTAAGTTCCTTGCACGGCCTTCAGGGAAGAGTCCTGCCAAAAAATCCACCCTGTGTCAATCTTGGGTTCGTTCTCCTCCTGAAAACAACTCCAGAATCACACCTCCCCCATGTCCCAGCCCCCCAGGTGAGACCTCCCCCATGTCCCACCTGCCCAGGTGAGCTCACCTGTGTGATGCAGGCCCCGGTAAAGACCACAATGACACTTTCCCCATGTCCCACCTGCCCAGGTGAGCTCACCTGTGTGATGCAGGCCCCGGTGAAGGCCACGATCACGGCCACCACGTTGACGGTGAGCTGGAACTGCAGGAATTTGGAGATGCTGTCGTAGACGTTGCGGCCCCACATGACGGCCTTGACGATGCTGGTGAAGTTGTCGTCGGTCAGGATGATGTCAGAGGCCTCCTTGGCCACGTCCGTGCCAGCAATGCCCTTGGGGACAAAGCCAGGCCTGAGTGACAGTCCCTGCCTGGCTCTGCTGCTTCCCAGAACTGCTCCCAGCAGGAAATGCCCTGGGGCTGCTGCCAGGCTGTGTTTGGCGGGGCAGCAGAGCTCCAGAAACTTCAAGGACAGGCTCAGCTTTTTCCCAGACAGAGCCGTGGGGCAGAGAAGCTGGGAAACAGCTGGGAAACAGCTGGGAAACGGCTGGGAAACAGCTGGGAAACGGCTGGGAAACGGCTGGGAAACGGCTGGGAAACAGCCAGGAAACAGCTGGAGAATGGCTGGGAAACAGCTGGGAAACAGCCAGAAAAAAAAAACAGGAAACAGGTGGGAAAAAGCTGGAAAACAGCTGGAAAATGGCTGGGAAACAGCCAGCTGGGAAACAGTCAGAAAAAAAGCCAGGAAACAGCTGGGAAACAGCTGGGACACAGCTGGGAAACAACTGGAAAATGGCTGGGAAACAGCCAGGAAAAAAGCCAGACAGGAAACAGGTGGAAAAAAGCTGGAAAACAGCTGGGAAACAGTCAGAAAAAAAGCCAGGAAACAGCTGGGAAACAACTGGAAAATGGTAGGGAAACAGCTGGGAAATGGCCGGGAGACAGCTGGAAAACAGCCAGAAAAAAGACAGGAAACAGGTGGAGAATGGCTGGGAAACAGCCAGAAAAAAAACCAAAACCAAACCAGGAAACAGGTGGAAAAAAGCTGGAAAACAGCTGGAAAATGGCTGGGAAACAGCCAGATGGGAAACAGTCAGAAAAAAAGCCAGGAAACAGCTGGGAAATGGCCAGGATGTAGTTGGAAAAAAAACCCTGGAAAATGGCTGGGGCACAGCTGGGAAACAACTGGAAAATGGCTGGGAAACAGCCAGGAAATGGCCAGGAAACAGCTGGGACACAGCTGGAAAACAGCCAGAAAAAAACAAACAAACAAACCAACCAGGAAACAGGTGGAAAACAGCTGGAAAATGGTTGGGAAACAGCCATAAAACAGCTGGGACACAGCTGGGAAACAGAAAAAAGCCAGGAAAATGGCTTGGAAAACAGCCAGGAAACAGCCAGGAAAAAAAGACAGGAAACAGCTGGAAAACAGCTGGAAAGCAGCTCCCTGCTCAGGGCAGGGAATGGCTCCATCCCGGGCTGGTGGCCCAAAGGAGGAGAACTGAGCCCAGAGGTTCCTGCCCTGCCCCGGGGTGAGAGCGGCCCTGCAGCTTCCCAAAAAAAAAATCTCCAGACTTCCCAAAAAATCTCCAGACTTTCCAAAAAAAATCTCTCCAGTCTTCCCAAAAATCTGCAGGGCTGCGTTTCCCGGTGCTGGCACAGAGAGGCGCTCGTCCCCCAGGAATTCCATGCAGGAATTCCATGCAGGAATTCCAAGCTGTTCCCAAAGCCCATTCCCTTTCCCCGGCGTTTTCCCGGATTATCCCAGATCCCAATCCCACCTCAAAGGGGAAATCCCTGCCTGCTGCAGGGCATGGGGTTTAGGGGAACCTTCCCTGCTCGTCCTAAAGGTTCTGGAATTGCATTTGGATGCTCAACACGTTCCTAAAAACATTTCCCAAAAATCGTTTGCTCAAAATTCCCTGTGCAGCCTCCTCCCCATCCAGCTCCTGCTCACATCCCTAAAATTAATCCACAGGGAACCTGTTAAACACAACAGGTTTATTTCCCTGCTCCTTTCAGACAGGATAGAAAAGCATCAAAATGGAGTTTTCCACCAGAAATAAATTCCCAAAGCCTGATCCAGCACTGTGCCTGGAATTGGGGTGAAGAGCTGCAAGGAAAACCAAATTATGGAAGAAACACCAGGAAAGGGCAGGTCCCTGCTCTGGGACCTCCAAGGAATTCCCAACCCCTTGCTCACAGTCCTGTGCAGCTCAGACTCAGATCAAACATCCTAAGAAAATTCTCTTTTTGGGTTTTTAGGCCGTCCTAGAGATTTGGAAAAGTTTCCATGGCGTGGAAACGATTCCAGTGGAAACATCCCCCCCCAAAAAAAAAAAAACCACTCGGCACATTCCTGGCACCCCGTGCACAAAAATGGGGGCATTCCCCTCCCACAGCTCCTTCCAGCTTTCCCAAACCCACCCAAAAAATACTCAGCACATTCCTGGAACCCCATCCATAGAAGGGACACATCCCCCCTCTAAATGAACCCAAAAAAACACTCGGCACATTCCTGACACCCCATCCACTAAAGGGGCACATTCCCCTTTTCCACAGCCCCCTCCAGATTTCCTAAATCCCCCCCAAAAAACGCTCAGCACATTCCTGTCACCCCATCTATAGAAGGGACACGCCCCCCTCCTCCAGACTTCCTAAATGCACCCCAAAAAATTTGGCACATTCCTGTCACCCCATCCACTAAAAAGGGGCACATTCCCCCTTCCACAACCCCCTCCACCCTTCCCAAACCCACCCAAAACCCACTCAGCACAGCCCAGCGACCCCACAGAGCAAAGGCAAACCCCAAAACCGGCCCTACCATGGCAAACCCAACATCTGCTTTCTTCAGGGCTGGGCCATCGTTGGTCCCATCCCCTGTCACGGCCACCACCTGCCTCTGGTCACCCACGGTGCTGTCGATGATTCCTGCGATGGGAACGAGAAATTGGAAAAAAAAAAAAATCAAAAAGGAAAATAAAAATGGGAAAGGGGAAAAGCTCCATCAGGCTGGAAAAATGCCAGGGATGAGCCCTGGGGAGGGGCAGTGCCCACCTTTCACCAGGGTGTGCTTGTCCGTGGGTGAGGAACGTGCCAGCACCCTCAGCTTGGGCCAGATCTTGTCCAGCTGCTCCTGCTCCACCTGCAGGACCAGGGGAAAAAAAAAGGGAGGTGAATTCCCTCCAGGAATTTCCTGTCCCACCAGAGAGTGAATCCCAAGCAGGGCAGGGCAGTGGCTTCACCCCAAGCACTGCTGAGCATCCCAGCAGCTTCCCTGTGCAGGGAGAAGGGGAAAACCCAGCAGGGTTTGGGAAAATCAGTGGGATTTGGGAAACCCAGTAAGATTTGTAAAATCCATCAGGATTCTGAAAACCCAGCGGGGTTTGGGAAAATCAGTGGGATTTGGGAAACCCAGTAAGATTTGTAAAATCCACCAGGATTCTGAAAACCCAGGAGGATTTGGGAAACCCAACAGGACTTGGAAAACCCAGCAGGATCTGAAAAACCCATCAGGATTTAGGACAGCCATCAGGATGTGGGAAATCCATCAGGATTCTGAAAACCCATCATGATTTGGGACACCCATCAGGATTTTGGGACACCCATCAGAATTTAGGACACCCACGAGGATTTGGGACACCCAACAGGATTTGGGAAATCCATCATGATTTGGGACACCCATGAGGATTTGGGAAATCCATCAGAATTTGGGAAACCCGTCAGGATTCTGGAAACCCATCAGGATTTGGGACATCTATGAGGAATTTGGGACACCCATGGCGATTTTGGGACACCCATGAGGATTTGGGACACCCATCGGGATTTTGGGACACCCATCAGGATTTTGGGACACCCATGGCGATTTTCTCTTTGTGCTGCTGGAGGCGCCTCCCCGGCCCTGCCCCACCTCTCCCTTCTCGTTTCGGATGAGCCTGTTGAACTCCTTCCCCTCCAGGCACAGGAAGTCCTCCCCGGGCAGCAGGATGCCACACTTGGTGGCGATGGCACGGGCAGTGTTGATGTTGTCCCCTGTCACCATGCGCACGGTGATGCCGGCGCGCTGGCACTTCAGGATGGCATCGGGCACCTGGGGACAGGGACGGGGGTGGCACTGGGAATTCCGGGAATGTGGCAGCTCCTTGTTCCCGAAAGGATCTGGAAAAGGCTCTGGAGGGGGGAGGGGGAGCTGCAACTGCCACCCCAAGGGGAAGGGACCTCGCTGTCACCTCGCTGTCACCTCGCTGTCACCTCCCCTGGGTGCCCATCCATAAAAAACAGGGATTTCCTCCTCTCCCACCCCACCAATGGCTTTATCCATCAGGGAGCACTGAGGGGAGAGAGGATGTTTGAGTGAGGAATGAGCAAATCGAATCAGGAGCCTCCAGAGCCGCTGCAGCCAGGGATCTGTAATGCAATTCCCAGATTGCCAGATCCCAGAATATCTCATCAGGGAGCAGCAGAGCAGGGGGGGAGCTCCAAACTGCAATCCAGAGGCAGGAACAGAGGGAATTATTGCATTAGCCCAGCAGACAGCTCAGAAAAACCAGCTCCAGGAGCTCAGGGATTCTTCCTGGCTGTTTCCATCCACCTTTGGCGCAGCCTGGAGCAGCACAGAACCCAAAAATTGGGAATTTCGGGTGGGAACATGCTGCCATGGTGTTGTTTAGTCCAAAAATGGGAGAGAAACACCTGCAGCAGGGAGCTGGGGGCACATCAGGGATGGGCAGGAGGAGCTGCTGGAATTCCTGAAGGGATCATGGCCCCGAGCAGCAGGAAAAGGGCCGGGATCAGCACAGGACAGGGGGGGATTTGGTACCTCAGGCCTTACAGGATCCTCAATCCCCACCACAGCAATGCAGGTCAGGTCTGACAGGATCTCGTTCTCGCTGTCCCAGTCGGGCTCTGTGTCGGCAGGGAAGTCCCGGAATGCCAGGCAGATGGTCCTGAGCCCGTGGCAGGCCATGGGCTCGATCACCTTCTTCACCATCTCGTCCCTGTCCTTCACCTTGAACAGCCGGGGCTCCCCGTTCTTGTCCAGGATCTTGGTGCACCTGAGGAGGGAGTGGGAGGTGAGGCAGTGGCACAATCCTGGCACCACAAAAAGGGGCTGTTCCCTTTTCCACAGCTCCTTCCAGCTTCCCCAAACCCACCCAAAAAATACTCAGCACATTCCTG